GGTGTGGACTTTTCTGTTTTTAGTTTTAATTTGGCTTAATAGAGCTTTCGATAAAGAACGGTTTGGGAATACTACACTGTCCCAGAATTGAGTGAATACGTGAGTCAGAGAAGCTGAGGGTGACCGATAACGTGCCAATAATGAATAAAAAAGAACCTTGATTGACACCCAGGGATAAGTTTTATAGATGGTAACACCCGCGCCGTTCAAGAGCTACTTCAACATGATCGGCTGTTAACTTTTAAAGAAATCTAATCAGAAATTGGTATCAGCTATGGGAGTTTAAATTAACAAGGTTTAAATTGAGAGAAATGGGCTCAAACATTATTTTCATAGTTCATATTTGTCTGTCTGCCTGTGACTATGTTTTGTTCGCGTCCCTGGAGGAAAACGAGGAATATTCAAGCTTCCAAATCGGTGGTAAAAGCTTGTAGATAAGGCAGCAGAATAAATTGAGAAATATCGAATGAATGGCTTGTGTGAATTCATCATCATCATAAGGTCGTCAGTCCTAAGACTGGTTGGACACGCACCTCCACTCTTTCCTATCCTGAGCTAATCTTCGCATTTCCCCAAAGCTAGAGCAACCCACCTTAACTATTTGAGAACAGTAATCTAATCTAAGTCTACCTTTGCACCTCCTAACATCCGTTTCTGCCTCTAATATGTCTCTGACTAGACCTTCATTACTGTTCAATAAATATATGTAAAAGTTAAGTTTATATTTGAGTCCCCTTTGTACTTGGGTCATTATTTGATAGTTCGAAAAAGCGAAACATAAACGGCTTGGCATACGCTACCGGATAGCTCAATCATCGTAAAAAGACACGTAAAAATTGGGATAATTTTTACGACTCTAGCTAACGTCACTGTGTAGATGCAAATAAATGAAATTCTAAATTAAAACGTACATATGACCCCCCGATGGGCCATATTTTGCTTTATAAACGATGCTCAATTTTAATCACCATTTGTTCACGTGCGATCGTACGGAGGTATTTTCGTGACGAAGTCATAAAGTGAAGATAATTTTAACTGGATAAAGTCGCAAATTTGGCAATACACACTTTGTACAATATGTACATCACATATAGAGTAATTGTAACTTATTTTGCCGGTTGTATTAGTAAAATGCCACGTAATTCACCGATATTTTTATGACTTGGCTTGGACCTTTGCGTTTGCTTTTTATTTACGCGGTTCAAAAATAAATGGCGACAGATAAAACAAATAAATCTTCGTAACGAATGGTGCAGCCTACGGAATTCGGAATAACAATTTTTTTAGGGGGCTACTAATTAAAACGAAGCAAAAACCAAATTTCTATGGAAGGAAGTCACTGAGTTAAGTGCAATTTGTATTTAGAACATGCTCATTTTCCACAAGTATAAAAACGCACCCATTTTTAAACTTATCCTCAGTAGATGTCATTTGATGTTGTAAGGGCGCCTAGTATATAACGACCTAGAGATTATTAGATATTTTGACGAATAATATAGCAGTAGCAAATGTGGTGAAATGACTAATACTTGGTTCATTAATAAAACTGTTTATAAAGCGCCGGAAAATAGGTGAAAACAGATTCAGAAGGAGTCAAAGGTCAAGGGAAATGCCGAGGGATGACACTTGACATTATAATACCGCATGCATGCATTGTATTATGTTTTATATGTAGGCTGACAGGAGAATTTACCGCTTCAGAACATTTTATAGGATTTCTCTGTTTTTCCCGAAAGACGTCAAAAGGTTTACTTGAAAATTTTCAGCGAGGCGATTGTATTGTATTTTCAATGAGGTGGTTGTATAAAAAAATTCTATTTCTAAACCAAAGCAGGTCTGGATAATACAATTCGATTAGTAATTCGCATAATATTTACTGCTAGTCCTTTTAATTTCTTAAAAATTACCATAAAGAACGTTAAAAACTTTTTTATTAACATAAAGTGGAATTTGACTCAGGATATTGTTATATAGGTCAGTATTTAACTTACAATTTCTCAGCTAAAACTAACAGTTATCTTTTTATGAACTTGTTAGGAATAGAAATAAAAACAATGAGGAAATTCAGAAAGCTTTTACATAGGTAAAAATGTCTTACATATTAAAACCCCATCATTGTCTGGGCTTGGCGGGTATTTTTTCAAGAATAAAAGTAATACTGCTAAAAGTTGGAGTTTTAATAAAACTTTAGAAACATTTAATTCATATGTATCAAATTAATTATTATCTGATGAGGCATATTCTAGGTAAGCTTTCCGGTAAGTTACTCCAAAGTTTATTGATTTTGAGACGGTAGTTGTCAGTTTGGCCACCCTCATTAATTATCATCCCTATCTGCACTTCGATGATGAAATAATGCATGATAGTATGTTCTGTATTCAGTACACATTACATACCGTGTATTACCAGTTCTACAATGCATAATTTCACTCACTCGTGTTACTCCATCACGGCATATCTAAAGTATGGATTATATAATTGTAAGGGAAGCAGCCAACTCAAATCCGTCTCCTCAGCTACAAATCGGAAACAGGTTTAAATTTCAACTTTCAACCCTCTTAATAAAGCAGCTGCTAGTGGTGCTAACAGCATCTGTTAGTTGCCAGCTACGATAATACCTGAGTATTTTTCAGGGTTTGCTACGCTTACCAGATGAGAGAGAGATCCTTTTGGCATTTTAAAGCACGTGCAAGAAATGTCAGGCAAAATTGCTATCAAAAAAATAAATTATAAAATTATCGAAATTGAAACTAGCTGAAAATGAATTTCGATTGTTTTAATTCATAGTTGTAAAATAAGTGTAGATACTGGCTAGGTCTTCTGTATGTGTGTTTATTGAAAGTTATAAAACGTCGAAATGGTGGCTCAGCGGTGGTTTCAAACAAACGGTCCAGTTTACATAAAAAAGTAGATCATTTCAATCCTTGACTTGGATTTTATTTTCTAAAATTAACGTTATTACTTTTCTGCGTTAAGAAAACGAAAACAATTCGGGTCTCAAGGACTTGAGTGAGACGCTTTATTATTCGGGCCATTGTTGAGACGCACCTTCAAATTATGTATTACATTCAGTAAAAAGTGAATTTTGCAGCCATTTTGAGGTATTCCTTAATAAAGAAGTAAGAAAAATTGTCTTATCGATTACAGTCACCGGAGCTATTCTTCAAATTTCCATATTTCTGTTTTGTTTCGAATTCAAAATGAGTTATTAAATTTAGAGCTTTTCTATGTTAGGTATATGTATAGAAGGTGAGTTTCAAGGAAATATTTTAGGAAGTGCTTCGAACAGATAAAGCGTAATCTCTTTGTGTTTCTGGGAAATTCGTTTCAAGGTCCTTGTAATAAGGATTTGCCATTCTACGGCTTCTCAACTTCTTCCTTCCACCTTTTCCGTGCAAATATTTTAATCAGACAGTAAATACAGAATATACAACTTTTAGTAAGTAGAATTTTAATACAAACGTCATGTAGGGCTTAAAATATATGTATTCCTTTCTTGGTAAAGCTTTCTGGAAGAAATAAGAGTGATGTCGTTCCTTAGGGTAGATTCTTGGTAAAGCTTTCTGGAAGAAATAAGAGTGATGTCGTNTGTATTCTGTGATTTGAGATGCCCATATTTGATTTTCCTAATTAAATTAGTGATGGTCATAAACTGGAAGAACGGGAATTATCGGAAAATTTTGAATTCAGTCGAAAATGTTTCAAATAGAAACCAGAACTTTTTCTTTCCAAGTTCTCGATTTTGTTACGTAAGTATTTTATTTTTGATATTGTTATCCGGAATTATAAATTTAATTGTTCAAAAGTCGAATATCTTCTGTAACAATTGTTTGTGATTTTTAAAGATCTACAACCGCCCAATCGATAAAATTGATTCGTTCGACTGTTACAGTTGTAGATCGTGAATTGAAAACGTAGTTGATTTTTCGGTCAGGTTTAAATTTGTAATGGTGTATAAACAGTTTACAATATGAGTTTGGGTGTTGTAGCATCCAATAAATGTGTACAGGATCAAACGTACACATGCATATGTGTGTTTTCTGTATTGTTGTGGGGAGTGTTAATGTTTGGTTTGTATGCACATTGTACAATAATAGAATATTATTGGCTCTGTTTCTGGTTCGTTAAATAGACACCAACGTTTAGGGTGCAAATGGTGTTTAGTGGTATACGATGCACACGTTTGCAGATCTCTCGCAATATTTTCGTAGTATTTTTGGTTTCTGTATGTGTAGGCATGTATGTATGTACATACACCATTACAAAAAAAAATAAATCGCATGTCTACGTGTTATAAACAAAGATACCCTTCAAAGTGAAAAACGAAGACAACAAAAAATAAAAAAAAATTATGTCGATATTTTGCCTTGGTGCTTAGTTCTGGCTTATTAATTGAACAGTGAAGACGTTTGTGGTGACTGACTTTCAATTTAAGGTGGGAGTTTGTGTTAAATTCTGATAAAAAAAATTATATCGTTGACAATGTATGATGTCTTTATAGTGATGATTGTACGAAAATTTTGTTCCGGATGTTGAAAAAATAAAATTGTGCCAAAATTTGATCTTTCATGCATGCTTTCTCTTACATAAAAATGTTAATATATGAAGAGAACCTTAATACAATCAAGTGCATATTGATTTGCACAGCATTCCTGCCCGTTTTACATTACATCAAGAACTTCACAGCTTTATTTTACTGTAACATGTGGCTGGTTACAAATTAATAAAAATAACTAAAGGTCATATTACTTCGTTCCTTATCTATAAGTTGTTGGTAGTGAGTGTAATATTTAATTTTTAACTGGTGTTTTGCATGGGATTGTTTCAGTATCAAATATCGTAATTTATTTATAGGATATTAGCAACAATTTTCTCGGTAATCAGTGCTTTTGCTGATGGTGTTGACCACTTTCGTTATAATTTTAAACCGCGTCGCGTTATTAATATAATAAGGAGAAAATATACGCCTTGTTACGTTTCTTCTTTCGCTTTTCTTGCAGTTTAATCATCAAGGACATCCGTTTGTCGCGCAACAATATTATACTGTGATAGTTTGTAATCATTGCCACCAAATAATTTACGGGATTGGACCACAGGGATATCAATGCTCAGGTAAGAAAAAATCGAAACGAGTAACAAAACAGAAACGTAAAACAATTGGTACTCGCAACGTAATTTACAATTGTTTTTGGCTGCTGTTAATTGTTTTACTTTGGTAGAAATGGGGTAATATGTGATAAAACAATCGGCTAATTGAAATTGAGTTGAAAAATAAAAAATTAAATAAAAATATTATTGTATTATACATATAGGAAAGTCCTGCTTTTTTCTATGGGAAATAAATGCAAAGTTAAGTGAATCGTTCTGTATTACCCCACATTTCCCCTCATAATTAACACACGTGGATCGCTTTTCTATCAATCAATTAAGAGTGTGTTATTTTGCAATTTTCTGAAATACAACCAAATCGTAAAATTTTATCGTCCATTTCCCGGAAATATTTTCGAAATAGAACACGAAATTGAAAGGTCAAAACATTATGTATTTGAAATTTGACATTTCGGCTGAACAGAATACCACTCAGTGTTAAACTAATTGGTACGATTTTGTTCTATTTTTGTTTTCTAGCATGCCTAATCAATGTACATAGACTGTGCATGAAGTTATACGAAGATATATGCCCTGGTCCTTTCAACAAGAAAAATCGTGGCATCGACAAGCTCATGGACCGCATTCGACCGGAAAGTAGAGATCATAGGAGAAAACAGACTTCCCAGTTTATCCAAGGTAGCTACCAGCGTTTGTTAAATTTAAATTGTTAATCAAGCGTTTGTCGGCTGTTTAAAAATTTCTTCCTTTGTTAGAAGATTTTTTTTGTGTTTTGCTGACGACTCTTTCTTTATTTCCTTGCAGCGGAAAAAGAAAGACGATCAGCCGAAGAAAAAGACAGTGGAGTGGATTTGGACGCAAGTGGTGAGTGCAGTATTTTTTTTTGTGTGTTCATTTGTTTTATTTTTTCATTTAGGCAGACTTCCTTCGCTTTCAGCAAGTTTTAGGAGGTTATTGAAAATAATTCGTGCAAAAATATTGCATAGTTGCGTTTTTGTTTGCAATATTTCGTAACAATATATTGATGAGCAAATATTTTTCGTTATTAAATTTTCTGCACGATCGAGTAAGCTTTTCTCTCAATGAAAATGTAAGTAACATTTTAAGATTACATTTGAGTATCTACTGTTGAAATCATAAATTACGGATTTATTTTTGTTTTTAATATTATTTGTAATATCCTTTCTCGAGGGACACTGTTACATATATCCGACTGGAGTTGAAGGAACATGTTTTTGAACTTTAATGACCTTAAACAGAAATGGTTTTGTGTGTAAGTTGTCTCTTTTTAAGGTCGGAAAATATTTCCCCGTTTTGTCCATCGTCACCGGCCAATTCGTTTGACAAAGCGATAATGATAGTAAACTTCCGGTTCGTAGTTTCCTGATAAACAAATTAATCGATTATTGATTTATCGTTTTGGCACGATTTGTACAGGATGCCATGTTTATAACATGTACTCTCGAAGCATTTTCATTCATAACGTAGTTGTAATTATAGATCCGATCCGATCTCATCTCTTAATCTTTTGTTTTACTGCTTCCGACCTACGCAAAAATTTCATTTCAATTTTGTAGATAATTTTTGAAATTTATTGATTCCTGACTTATCTTTTCAATTATTACCTTATTCAAGAACTTTAAGATTTTTATAATTCTTAAATGACATTTTAATTTAATTGACAAATTAATCGAGTTAATAAAATTTTTGTTGAGTAGTACATCAAAAACAAACAAATTTTCATCCAGAAGCTAGCATTGAGAGTTGTAAATGAAATCTACCTACAAAAGTATTGTTTGTGTTCGGAAAATTTCGGTTCGAGTATGTATTACGAAACTACGTAGGTAATCCACCTATGAAAAGTTTGAAAAATTTTAAACTGGCTTACATATCAATAAGTTTCAGTCGTAGGTGGACGCTTTAAGGGAAAATTGCCAAATTGTTAATGCAGTTCAATTTTAATGTTTTTAAAATATTACACTCTTTCAAATATGTGGATTATTCGGTAACTGTACAATTTATTCTAGGTAGGTTTACTATCTTCTGCACTTTTTGATGTTTTGTTAAAAAATGATGATAGGTTTTCGAATGATTTGATAAAAATAGATAGATGACCTGCAATTTACTGTATAAGGGACACTTTTGCAAGGTAATTCGTAATTTGCCGCTCGTTATAAATAACAGTCAATACTTGACTAAAAAGCGACGAGCCCATACGGCTGTTTTGGCATGCAACGAATCGACTGGGCCAAAATATCTTTGTCTAGGGGTGAGGGTGCATTTCGTGGCACGTCATGTGTACAGTTTAAACCAAAAATTGTGTCATAATTATATTGATACTTCTTCATTTACAGTTATAGTCCTCTATATCTGAAATTACAAGTTGAACATCTAAAAAGAAAAGTTCATAAAAGCTCAATTTTGTTATGTTTTAAAATCGTATATTTTTTTACTCATAGTCATATTTGTCTTAATGTGTAACAAGTTTTTTCATTCCATTATTGAAAAATGTTTCCTACATTTCTCGAATTTAGGATTTGATATCTACATTCCAGAGATAAAAATGTTCAGTCTCTCAGTCTCTGAAAGCGAGACTCGAGTCGCCGTCTCTCATCGAGTCTCTGTGGTGTCGCTGAGAGAGACTGTCAAAAAAACTGTTTAGCGTCTCTGAACGAGAAACTCAAGTCGCTCATAGAGAGATACTTATTGTGTATCCAGTCTCTGAACAAGAGACTCGAATCTCTGAACGAGAGTCTCGAATCTCTGAATTAAAAAATTTATCGTTCGAGTATCTCATACAGAGACTGTGAGAGATCCATAAAAACACCTAGGCAATAACTCAGAAACTGTGAGATACGCTCTCAGAGACGCTGAAAGACTCTGAGAGACTGGAGGGAGACTGAAATTTTTTGTCTAGGGTTCACCTCATCGCCTGAGGTGTAATGATTAATTGCTTACTCCCCCAATTTTTCGCCATGCGAGTTTTATTCTTTTCCTCCACTCAAGAGAGTCCTCTAAAATAATCATTAGACCTTGGGCAATGAGGTGAAGGCAACTTTCAAGTCCTGGAATTGAGAAGTCGGGATAATTTTTCGGAATGAAAAAACTTTTTACTCGTTGGGAGAAATGTGTTACTTTCAACGAAATTTACGATTTTGAAGCTGTACTTGATGGCAAATTCGGAAGTTGTGTAGTTGTTTGCATTCTACGTTTATTACAAAAGAGTACGAATAGTAAGTTTCAGAATTATGTAGGTTTGTTTGTATTATTTATGAGCGAAGAAAATGTTTTGTGGCGTACTGTAGAAAGAGAGATCGCGAGCAACTACGCAAAGGGTGTAGTAGATTGATGAGAGGGTAGGTAGGTTTTCGCCAACGATCGCCTAGTAGAGCAACCACGTAAATTACGGTATCGTGGGGGTGGTTGGTAGTCGCGACTGCTAAAGACCAAAGGCGCATTTCACTGACGTCAAATGCAACGGCAGTTATTAGCGTATACATGAATATATTGTGCAGTAATAGCAGTTCTACCTCCTATCTGCATGTAATGTTGTGTACATTAGCGCGTGTAAACATTGAAAACTGCACTAATTAAATAAACTAATGCCAAGTCGCTTTTGAAAGACCGTGGGCGTCAAATGGTAAATTAGTTTTAGCAGTAGTAACACCATCAGGAGGGCAGTAGGTGCGGACCGGATCGTCTTAGATTTATTTTTATGATTTATGTTTTATAGACAATTTAAATTAATAAACAGAATTGTCCATGTAATAAATTTTTCTCGAAGGTTTACCGAAGTTGAAGTTTCTACTTCGGCGTGGATTTCTAGATTTTATCCTTTGAGATGATTGATACTTTTCTTATTAGTGTTTCGCGGATATTTTTAGAAGCAAAAAATAGGAACGTGATGAGAAACGTATTAAAAGCATATGAAGGACGGATAATCCTCTAAGTTCATGAAGATAGGTGCTAGAAAACAGAAATAGCCAAAGGTAAGATCTCCAGCTCAAACTATACTTGTAAGATATTTTCTTCCTTCCTATGTCAGTCCTTAATAACCCTGCTCAAGCTACGATTCAATAAAAACTGTAAGAATTAATTTAGCTCACAGAAGGCGGTACCAAGCCGTTATAAAAAGGAACAATGATAAAAATAATAATAAAGGAAACAAAAACGGATCGTTTGACGTGTTTTTTTTTTTTTGTTGTATCGTGTAATCTTCCTTTTCAAAAGCCATTTATTTCGCGTCTAAATTTTACCCGTGAATGAAAAAGGGAGTGGAAGGAGGTTGAGGAAAAGGGGGAGGGGCGTGTCGTTGTCCCGATATTCCCTACCTACTGCCTTTGTTGGGAGGCACTCGTCCCTGAACTTGGCCGTTCGATTTTATTACGAGAAACGGTAGTTATGGAGGAGCCGAGGGGGTGGATGGAAAATGGGAACTATTCAGACAATTTCAGGAACCGTAAAGCACAATTCCACAGTAATTTTGCCGGTACATATTAGGACTTTAATTCTGTGCCACCAATATAGACGCGATACCATTCCATTTCGTTCATTATATGTACATGTAATAATACAGGGTGTTTATTATGTCCCTATTCAATCTTATCTCACACTTACACACTAGTAACTGCTCACTGTATAAGTGTTTCTAGTAAATTCCTGAGTCCGGACCCGGAAAACTATTCTTTATATCAGTATAAATCTCAAAATTTCATGAGAAAAATATCCCTCAAGTTTTGGTGGTTTGAAGCATAATGCAGTCTTTCGTCGTATACATATAACTAAATAATACATACAATATTATGCGTCATGCAGGAGGCAGCAAGAATCTGTCGTTTGATGATGATGATGATTAGGTATTTTTATAATTGTGATGATCACAGAAGAGATAGGTATGCATTTTATCCGCGGTACGAGAATGATTCATCTACGAAAGATTTCCATCTAAACGTCGTCGACCACATACCAGTGCGATTTATAAATTTACCTTCCAGCAGGCAAATTTAGATCGCGTGTTACTTAGCGTTATTAAAGGTACAAAACAGGTGTATAGTACTTATTTGCTAATAACAGTTATTACAATAGACAATTTATGTTATGATTGCAGAGTTTGTTAATTTATTATTCTTTGTACGTATGATATTAGCCCAGTCAATGAAGCGGTCATTAAAATTTCTTGTTTGAAGTCTATTAATATTTATAATTACTACCTACATATCTGCAAATCCATTTTCATGCCAAAAAGTATGTACTGAAGTGGTAAAAATTAAACGTACCTACTTGTACTACGCCACATGCAATTGTTTTGCAAATGCTTGACCATGCACATAATATAGTTTATAGAATCCTTTGCCTTTTTTTTTAATAATTACGATAAAAATACATTTAATGCTAATTAAAAGAAACAGATAACAAATACCTATATTGATAAGCAGATCAGTTATTCCCAACAAGTAATTTTTTATGATGTTATTTGAAGGTCGAACCCATTTAACGTTTCTTGTACGATTAAAACTGAAAAAAGCTAGTTACGTTTGTAAATTGTATTTATGGTAATAGGTATTAATTTTACCCGTTTTGAACCCTATATTTTAGGGTGCCTAATTATTTTGATACTCGACTAATGGTTAATGTTACATTTGATTGACCTTTACTTTTATTGAATAAAAATGATACCAATGATACAGAGATATATACATTAATATATACGTAGATAATACATTACTTATCTCGCTCGCGATTTAGAAAACTGATAACGGTGACATTTGTTGTACCATTGATGTTTTAGAGTTAACTTTTATGTGCGCAAAGTTAAACGTGTAGTTTTCTTGTTATTTAAAATGGTTTCTTAAATAGTTATCTAA